TGTGAAAAGAAACCCTAATAAAACCTGAGCCACACAGTTGCTTTGGAGATTAAATGACAAGAGCCACGGTCCTTATGGCTCCTGCCCAGGGTTCTGCTCACAGCCCACTCACAGCACGAGGTCTGCTCAGCCTGAAAGAGTATCTTGGGATGACCTTGAATCTAGATGACTTGTGTCAGATTAGTCCAGCATCAGTGCTGTAAGTCAGGTTCTAGGTGGTTGTTTACGAAAACCTAGCATTCGGTTAGTCACGGTACACTCTGTGATGGTAGTCGCAGCCTTCCTGTCTCTTCGTTCCCCTAAGTTGCTGACTGCCTACAGTGTAGAAAGCAGTGAACAAATATATGTGTGTTGCTACCTTTTTTACACTGTGACAAACCCACATGCTTTCCATTGAGCATGGTCTGAAACTCAGACTCCGAAGTCCATATCCTCTTACATTACTTCCTTGATGGGACGCTAGGTACATGCAGGTGTCTTTTCGCCTTTCCAGTAGTGTGACCCTCCCTCGCACGGGGGTGTCTCATTTGTCACTGTGACTGGCAAAGGCAATCTGGGACCTTGGAGGAGGCCTGTATCTTCTTCGATAGCTTACTTTCCAGGGGAAGTAAAATAAAGTAAAAATGAGAGTAGGATCAGAACTCATTGCCATAAAAAGATAACTACCAAACATTATTTAAATGAAGCAATTTAGGTGTTGCTTTCAAATTGTATGGAAGCACCTGGGAAAGGCCTTGAAAAGTCTTTAATACCATCTCCTGTCTCCAAACAGAGCTCGATCCACCCACCCCAAATGGTGGTGCACCTGACTAACCTCTAGAAGAGTCTTGGCTTAACTTGGCAGTGGGCTCTAGTATATTACCTTTCTCTTGGCCTTCTGTCCTTCTTCCTTCTAACCTGTGTGAGCCAGTCTTGTATGTGGAAATGCAGAAGCTCAGCGTCCAGATTGTGGATCACCTGTGTCTGTACCTGACTCAGGGCTGCAAGGACTGCCTGCGGTGTCCTCCTGTGCATGAGGCCTGTGCTGTAGTCCGGGCAGTCCTGGCCTGCACCCACCACTCCAGGGCTTCCTCTGAGCTCCGCATCTTAGCCCCACCCAGAAGCTTCCCTGTGCATTCCTGACCTCTTACCTTTTCCTTTCTTCTTCTGGGTTCCTCCTGCTCTGTGAACTCGTTCATTAGGATCACCAGAACCTCTGGCATCTGAGGCTCTCGTTCTCCTTGGGTCTTCAACCCTTATCATCCAGGTAGACACAAGAAGCTCATTGGCTTCTTGATAACTGAGAAACCATGCCTTCAGTGTAAGTGAAAGGACCAAGGCAGGGAACCCTGAAGTCCAGGGCAGCACTCTGGACTCAAGTCCATCGATGTGATGTCCAAGCCCTTGAGAGAGGATAAGGACACACCGCCCGTGTCCAGAGTATCATGTCCACTGGATGAGTGAAATGCAAGGATTTCAAACTCTTAAGCCTTCTCAAAAAGTGTTAGCACTATGTCTGAACACTGCTCCACATTGCAACATCCCCTTCCCTGGCCTCCCAAAAACAAAAGCTTGAAAGTCCAGGCATTTGGGAGGCTGACCTTGGGCTTCTGAGTAAGCAGAGATTACATTGTTTGGGAATTTTGCTCAAAGATGGGGGAAAAATCAATCCCTTAAGTAAGTCGGGTTGCTGGGTTGCTGCCTGAGAAGAAAAAGTCAGAGTCCTATGGGCAAATGAGGAAGCTATTTTAGCTGCAGAATGAAGGAGTCAAATGTTCCCAAGAGCGAGAACTCTCAGATATGTAGCCAATAACTAATGTGTTAGGTGACACACTAAATATAACTATTATATCTCAGTGCATGTTGATAAAAACATCATTTTATGCCTGGGAAAAGACTGGAAATGAGAAGATGGAAATTGCCCCCAGAATGAAAGAGCTGAAACTTGTATTTATTTAATTATCAAAATGACAGCTCTTTCATGAAGCCATAATAGACATATTAATAAACCTGTGAGGGTTAAACATTTCCATGAACAGCTTCTTCTCCTCATTGATAATTTAGAAAAGCATTAAATGAAGACTGTTTGCTGTCAGATTAGATACCTTGAAAATTCCCTAATCTCATTTAGATCTTAATAATTTCAAGAAAAGAACATGTGTGGTGAAACCTGCTTACGATTGCATTCTTTGTTCTAATTCAGGTCCATTCAAATCCCCAAATAAGCAAAAGGCATCTCTGTCTAGGTGGGATGCAGCTGATCCGGACATTTACAGGGCTTGGAGGCATCTTGTTTAGAAAGTACTTCACCATCTCATCAGCAGTAGAAGTAGAAATTGAAGTTGGCGATATCAGTGACCTGGATGAGTTACTACCTCGGAAGTTGTGTATAATTTAATCTTTGTTGTTGTTGTTGTTGTTGTTGTTGTTGTGCCGTTACTGTTCCCAACAGACATACGGGCTTGTGCTGTAGCAGGTGGGAAGCAGTGTGTCAGGCTCTGTGCTGTACGATTTGGAAACATCACTTGTCCCCACTAATAAACCTAGGTCTGTTGTTAAGCTTTGTTGATTTATCAGGGTGGTTAAAACAGATAGTGCATATAGAGTCTTAGAGCACAGCCTGGCTGCAGTGGTGTAAGGGAATTTAGCCTTCTCTAATTGTGCCTCTGTAGCGTTCCTTCTTTTAAACTGTGTCTTCTGCTGTCCATATCTGATTGTTACGTTGATTATGTCCATCAGCTCTCTTTGACCCCTTCATCACAAGGTACAGCGCTCATGTATTGAAATGACTGTCCCCAAGGGTAACTTGCTTTGAGTGCAGCCAAGTTCATTTGATTACCGTAAGACAACTATGGTTCTTCACTCTGCTCAGGCGGATATCACCACCTATGAGTCCCTGTTCCCCATGTCCAACCCATTTCCTGCAGAGAAGTGTGTTCTTACTTCCAGGGCTGTTTCCCAAATGTCCTCTGTATCTTGATGTGGTGGCACATGTTGCTTACACCCCCTCTCCAGTGGCCCAAACCAGAAGCCCAGAAGCCGTCCTTTCCCTGTAACCACAGTCGGTCTGTCAGGCTCTGTCTTCTCTACTTCACAAACGCACATCTTGACTTCACCAACTTTGCCCACAGAAACACCCTGCACTCGGGTCTGGGCCGCCACTGCCTCCCGCCTGCACAGACCCAGCTTCCGGGGGCAGTGCGGGTTCCTTTGTCCACTCACACTGCCTTCGTGTTTAGCTTCTGCTCACTGGTCAAGTAGAGGTTTTTAAACAAAAATCAGATCCTGTCTCGCCCTGAATTAGACCTGTTCAGTGACTTCCCATCCTCACTGTGGCCTGTGACCTTGGCGGTCTGCCCCACCCTGCAGCCTGTTTGCTTCATGGCGCTGATCTCCATGAATAATCATGCCCAGTGCTACTCCTGTCATCACTCAGTTGGTGTCAGTTTGTCCTCACTCTGTCTCCCATGTTTTGCATGATTTCTGGAACATGGTAGGTACTCAATAACTGTTGGGTGAATAAACAAATGAAGTCGTTCCAATTTCAAATTGTGCCCTTATATTATTTTCCCGTTGAAGTAACATTTTTACTACTAAAATTGGTCACAAATGATAAGAATTACCTTTGTGCCAGTCCCTCGGCAACTCTTAGAAATTTATAGGAATACCTCTAGGCACTTCATTCGGAAACCCTTGGAAGTCGAAGCACCGTAAGCCGAAGGATGAATAACTTTGTTTTGGTGTAGATATTTGACCTGGACTCCTTCCTTCCATAATGGATACCATTAAGCTTTCCAGAATAACCAGTCCCGATCATACGGTTCATCAGATGAGAGCTCAAGTGAACATTTCTAAAGTGAAACATTAAAGCCAAATGTGTTAATATTCATATTTTAAATTTCCAGCTACTGTAGAATTTTTTATAATGGTTTGTGTTTACCAGAAAAAACGTATATGGCAGTTTCCAAATGGTACAGCTTTGGGCGTGCTGGGTAATCGGGCTGAATTAATACGAGGCCCCTTGTTTTACTTGGAGCTGTTTATCTACTAGGCACAAAAGGGCACTCTGGTAATTGAAGCTCACAAACTCACAGAAGGAATGTCACTCGCAATCCATTTTCACATTGTGTTCTTCATTCTTAAGTCCATTTCCCTTTGGAAGCCAAGACTGTTGTATTGGGAAATAATGTGTCGCGCTAACCTGAGCCAGCAGTGCGGGATAGAGCGGTAATGACTTCTGGAATCACTAATGCGGGCGATGGACATTGAGTGTCCCCGTGTGCTCCTCGGGGCCGGCGTCTTGCCTGCTCTACAAGAAGCTGTCATTTCAAATTTGTGTCCCGACTCCATGGGCTCTTTGATTTCTAAACCTTTCTGAGAAACCTAATCTGAAATCAAAGTCGAATGTCCGGATGTGGTCAGACAAGGTCACATTTGAAACAGCCCAGTGAGCCTGCAGATCCGAGCTGAGGGGACGTCACGCTCCTCCCAGACTCGGCGGGCTTGCCGCTGGCTTACCTTTCAGTTTCCAACGTGCCTTTTTCACCTCTTTCCCAAAGGACTAGGAAAAATACGAGCTTTCTCCCTGGAAGATGCCTGAAGGGTTTTCTTAAATCATTTAATTAAAAAATTGAACACAGTTGCATTTTGGAAATGCACTATGAGTGCATTTACAAGGATCAGTGGATCCCAAGGCATTTTGTTGAAGATATATCTTACTGTTTGCTAGTCAGGCTTCTTTCAACTGAACTTCCTTGATAATTTCAGGTTCGCGAGCCTTATATTGGTGCTGAGTTACTAGGATTTACCTATACTCTTGAGTGATGCCATACATAGTTGCTGCTGGGCGTTGTTTCCAGTGCTACCTTCCTACCCTGTCAGGTCTTGAGGTAGTATCCCGAATGGCACTAGAAGAAGTTGACTCTCATTAGACACGATCTTAATATCTCACAACACAGGTTTTTATCGAACTCCGTGTGATTAGAAAACAACAACAACCTTGCCATTGCTTTATATTGCAGTGTTCTGTCTCTTGTGGTCGAGGGCATAAGCAACGAAATGTTTACTGCATGGCAAAAGATGGAAGCCATTTAGAAAGTGATTTCTGTGAGCACCTTGCTAAGCCACATGGGCACAGAAGGTGCCGCGGAGGACGGTGCCCCAGATGGAAGGCTGGCGCATGGAGTCAGGTGAGCAACGCTTCTCCCCTCCCCGCTGCTTCTTCCCTCCAGCCACGTGGCTGACGCCAGCGTGTTCTCTTCTGTTTCTCTGCATGGTTTTGGCTTTACCCAGGGGAGCCGCAGACTGGGAGGCAAGAATGAGCTGCCAGGCAGGCAGGCAGCTGTGAGACCTTGAACGAGTAGCTTCGCCCCCGGAGCGGTGCCTGATGCCCACCGTGAAGTGGCTTTGCACGAATTCTCTGTGGTAGTAGGCACGAGACATCTGCCGTGAGCAGTTGCTCAGAACTTGGCTGATGCCTTGGCTGATTGTTCCCTGCTGGAAAAACCAGTGATTCAGATCACACTGAAGCTGACTGTGGTCCCCTGGCAGGAGCTGAGTTGGAAATTTACCTTGGAGCTTCTTGAAGAAAGAGTATCAGAGAGTATTTCTCTGTCCATTTGCTTGTTTACAATAGAAATGGGGGATGAGAGCAGAGCTCCCAGAGCTGTGCAACCTGTGGTTTGTGTCACTTTGCCCCGCCTACCTCATAGGGTTCCTGAGGAGTTAATGCAGTAATGGACGGCAAGGGCTTCCCTCGGGCTCCTGAGTGGAGCAGACTGGTTTGGACGAGTGTGACTTACGTGTGTATCTGATGGGAAGGGAGGAGGGCCCTGACACACTGATTACAGTTAGATTCCACTAATTCTAAGCTTTTCGTGAGCTAGACGGGGTGTGAGCGTTGCCTGCTGAACGTGAGAGAGGAACTTCAGAGCTTGTGTTCACTTATGAGCACTACGAGTCTGCATGCGACTGGAGTCATCGGTGTCTGGTCTTCAGGGTGGGGCCGGAAACCTCACTGCACATTTTCTCACCTTGGTCAAGGTGTTAACCTGCAAGTAACATGGCTCCATCTTTTTCTAAAATCTGAGTGTCGTAGTGTCAGCAGTTCAGGTCCTTCTCCGATTTAGTGAGGCTTTGTGTATTTCTCGTTCTCCTAAGACACAGACAGCCATGCCGATGGTCCCTGGGAATCAGCGGGCACCTCTAGAACACATTGTTCAGAGCCCAGATCTTCATTCTCCAGGGTTCTGGCCATGGCCCTGTTACACAGGGAAGTCTGAGGAGCTGCATTCCACTATGGTTAGCGGGATCTTCCCAGAGCCTAAAGTTTTCTGAATGTCCTGAGCTGGCATCACCGTCTTCAGCCAGGTCCCCCTCACGAGTGTGAAATGAGGTGCGCCCTCCTAACGTAGCACGGGAAGCTCATCCCCATCCACATCCTCATCTCAGTGAAATGGGGGTGGGGTTCATTGTGCTTTAACAACAAAAGCTGTACCCAGCCCAGGCATGTTCTCCCTCCAGGTGACTTAAGAGACTGCATTCAAGGCAGTATGTCCCCTGCTCACAGCTTTGGATGGCTTCTGGGGGGCCACTGCCATCTGTTAACTCGCAGCCATTTTATGTTGGAGCTGTTCAGTTCATGTGGGAGCCTGTGGCTGACATTATTTAATACACCACCCTAATTAGCTTGCCCTCTTGCAGACTTCAGTTTGGTTGCTTTATGTTGTGTTCCTTGGTCTGTAGTTGCCTATTTGCCTTTCCCCTGAATATTATCCTCAGAGCATGTAAATGATGCTCATTTTAAAGGCCAACTTACTCACTAGAATGTCAATTAAAGGGATCTTTTGCTCCTTATTGGTAAACACAGTTTTAACTCCACCATCCTGTGATCTTGTGGGGAAGCTTAAAATTTAAAATTACTTGCCAAGCTGGGATGATTAGGTTTAAGGCCTGGGGGTGCTTTGCAAACAAGAGGTAATAGGATTATCAGAATGCCTCTCCAGAAAGAACCAGGCCTGTTCAAGGTGATTGCCTAGGGAAGGCACCGCCTTCGGAGAAGATGCCAGTAAATGCAGTTGTGTGAGGGTCGGGGGCCAGCTTTGTAATGTCCCAGTCTGATTTGTAGAAGTGAATTACAGAAGCGGCGAGACAAGGTGTTGCATGAGTGAAACGTGCTTTGTGAAGCGCGGGAGCATTTCTGAAGGTCCTTGAGGCCCAGTGGAGGACAGACGGTCTGCACACTTCGAGATCTCGGACTTACCAGGGGCTGATGGCAACAGGAGTAGCCGCGAGGCGGTGATACTAAGCAAGAGTGGTGCGGTGACTGCCGGTTTGCAGCAATCTTGAGATTTTGCCTCCAGTCTTCCTGGATTTTGGTAGTAGCCTTATTCTAGCCATCCTATCATCATTGAAAAAGGAATAAGTAGTGCATTTTCTTATAAGGTCAAAATGTCTGTTGATAATAAATATATAGAATGTGGGGTAAAAGGCTGATCTTAGTCTCTAAAATTTGGTGTTTTCAGATTAACAGTGGGATGTTAAATTCCAACATCTTGAAATCTTGAAGTTCTACAGGAAATCAGCTGGATTTTTTGGTTTTGGGCTTTTGGTTTTTTGTTTGTTTATTGTTTTTTTTTTCCATCCTCACTAAATTCCTAAAGGTTTTTATTCTCTCAAAAGTTCATGTTCAATTTGTCTGGATGATTTTGATCAGGAGCTGAAGAATGCCCGTGACATTTTCAGACAAAAATCTCCATCAGATCATTGATTCAACCTGATACATTTGCAGGCTGTGTATTCTCATGATCCAAAAGCTTTCCAGGGTACAAGGAAAGGATGGGTTTGGTTTGATTACTGAAGATCTGTATTAAAAAGAATAAAGGACCAGATGAAAATAACAGTCAGGGATTCTCGGTGAGCCCTTCGTCAGTCCTGAGATGTAGGTCTTTCTTGCAGCATAACGCCTGGTGGGCAGCAGGGCCTTACAGACAAGGAAATTTGTGACTCAGTTAAACCCACGTGGTTCCCTTTTTACTGATACAAAGTACAAAGATAAGTATTGTAGTCAGTGGTGTCTCTGAGTCAGAGTTATTTTCAAAAGCTTTGCAGTGAGAATGGTCATGACTTCTCTGGTCAGGACAACAAGAGCAGCTTGGCTGTGGGGTCTGATGCTGAAGCCTCCATCTGATGTTTAAAGGAAAAGCCTGGCAAATGTGAGCCTTGGTCCTCGGAGAAATCAAGGACACCTCATCACACGGGCAGTGATGAGGAGGAGAGCTGCTGCCATGGCGTTTGCTCTGCCTCTGTTCGGTGTTACTGAGTGCTGCGCACCAACGGTGCACTGTTTGCACACAGACTTCACACCTGCTCCTGCTGACACGGTTCATGAAACTGCAGTGTATCAGTGCCACATTTCTAAACTGGAAGCCAGATCCTAACCCACAGTAGCTGTGCTTCATTGCCTAGGAAAACGTTTTCATTTGATTCTCTTTGTTTTTGCTTGAGCTGAGGCGATTATCTATGTTCTTCATTTTGTTTATTTGTGGCACATCTGCCTTAAAGGCTTATTATGGGAGGTAGAAAAATACTTTAAGGGAAATGCTTAACAGAGCTAAACCCTGACCTAGGAGTAATGTTGTGCCCCATGGGACAATGGACAGTCTAGAGACAGGCTGTTGCAGCTTGTGGGGAGGAGAGATGTAATTGGCATCTAGTGGGTGCAAACTAAAGAGTGCAGCTACACCCTGCCATGCACAGCGTGGCCCCTCACAGAGTGCCTCAGGTTAGGAACCCTTGCGTAGTGTGGCTCAGTAATCGCTCAGTAAAAGTTTGCTCTCATTACTAATATTTATAAAAATGGGTTTACGTAGTTATTCTAGAAGCTAATTTCTGCTTCAAAATAATGGCACTACCATAATTTCAGCAGTAATACCAGGAGAAAGGTATGTAAGACTCTTTTCCAGGTTTTCAAGTGTATGTTATGATTCCCCAAACACCAGAAGTTCCCTAGATGTTCTCTTTGTCTATGGAAGTAAGTATCAAGCTCTCCCTGCAGGTTGGTGATGCTGCCCATGGCCTTGTACAGCAGAGAGAGAGGCAACGGTAGCTCAGAGCTAAAAACGCTTCCTTCAGCACTGCACAGATATGCTGTGCTAGGATGGCAGGGGCCACATAGCAGAGGCTATGCAGATGTCTCCCCTAGCAACAAGACTAAAAAGTGCCTCAACGAAGTAGAAAAATTAAACATGTATGCATAACTGCCATCACCACCTCTAGGGTCACCCGGAAGTCCTACCAATGGGTTTTGGCACAGATCTCTCAAAATCCACCAAGCAGGGGTGCCTGGCTCTGTGGGCTCTGTGTACAGATCTCTGCCTCCCATGAGACAGCCCAGGAAGAGCTGGTGAACACGGAGATGGAGCAGATGCGACGTGGCCTGTCCCACTGTGTGTGGGTTGTTGTGAGGGAAGCAGGGCATGTGGTAGCTCAGAGATGGCTCTGACATTGTAAATAGCAAGCCGGAACAGCATAGTATATGACTGAAACTTCCTGTGTCTTAATTTGTCTTTTGAAAATTATTGAACACTACAAGCAGTGATTTTCTAAAATTTTACATACCTTACTTTCATTGAACCGTAAGTCAGTGAGCCATAAGCCTCAAAAAAAGGCTTCATTTACTTAATAGCCTAAATAGAATTATACACTCTAAAAGCGTTTTAATTTTTTATTTCTCTTTAGGTTACCATTATGAAGTTTTGGATATGTAACAGCTCCATGGCAAACTCAGATGTGTTTGCAGTGCCCTTATTCTCTCTCTGTATTTCTGGCTGGAGGCTATTGCTCTAGAAATGCACTGTGGGATTTATGAACCCAGTTCAGACAGCCAAAGTGGTGGTGGCCGCTCGTGTTTTGCTTCCATGAACGTTCCTGTCGCTTGTGATTGTGAAGTAGCTTTCCCATGCTACAGTTCACTTTTTTCCCAGTGTAACCGGTGAGAAATGTTGTTCATGACACTCTCACAGCCATCCAATGGCCGTTCTCTGGACACAGGGCTGTCACTGGAGAACAGAACTTCCCATTCCACCCGGGACGTAATCTCTTTAGAAGTCTGGTTTCTTGTGGATCACGGACTCACTCAATCCAATTAATATAGTTAAACCCAAGCAACACAGCAATGTTGATCCAAAATATTTTCTCCTGTTCCGCTAAGTTTTGATATGAATTGTGAGCCACTCCTGGTATAGATTCATCTGAAACACTATAATTTCTTAAGCCACCCTCTAGAAGGTATCAGCTGTTTCCTTAAAATCTGAATTAGGGAGAAGCTTCGGACCCAGCAGAAGCCATCTCACTGTGCTGTTTATAGGGAATTTCCGTTGGCCCCAGGGGGAGCTGGGTGCTGCTGCAGACGGGACAAGAATGCCTTTCTGGTTTAAGAGAGCTTCATTCCATTCTTGAAGAAGGCTTCCTCATAAGAATATAGGGTTAATGTGTGCTAAACTCGCTCTCCTAACACCAGACAAATTAATGGAGCTGAGTTATCACAAATATCCGGTAATAATTCTTAATAGCTAAGTGCTGTAATGTGCTCCTTTTTCTAATCAAAGGTTGCCTTTAGTCTCTCACTGTCAAAACCTTAATAAAGAAATAATTCTAGGTCTGCCCATAAGTGAGATTACGAAACCCGGCAATGAGGAAACCATTAAAAATTAATTTAGAGGAAATTTAATTGAAGATTTAATATGGTGTTTTGCAACTTAGTCAACAAAATATTTCAGCATGCCTAATAGTATTTTTCAGGGCTGAACACAAAAAGCCCAAGGAAATGGATTTTCCTGTTGGTTTTTATTCTTTGTATTTTTAGCTGAGGTTGTAAATAAACCTAAATACTTTAGTGAATTCCATGGTTTAAAAAATGCTGTGTCTCCAAAAATAGGAGCAAGAACAGGAAGGGGCTAGAGAAAGTAATTCTACTCTAGTGGTTTCACCTCCTTAGGATGTATCTTTAGCTAAGGCATTCTTGCACAGTGCTGTGTCTCCAGTTTTCAAGACGCTCACATCCTCCAGGATAGAAATGATTCGCCATTTTCTTTTTGGGTGGTGGTGTTATTTCTAGGTGCTGTTAAATATTGCATCACAGTCTCTCCCGACCTCTTCAGCCCTCCAAAGTCTCGTTAGCTCTAGAGATCCCACCAGCCAGCTTACCTTCCTCACTCGGCAGCACTGGTAGCAGTGGTTCAGGTTTCAGACCTTACCTTGGTTCCCTTTGAGTGGAAGTTAGCAAGCGTGGAGACAGCTGTGCAAGTCGTGGGTGGAGGGAGGAGTGCCCTTCGCTGTGCTGCAGCCTTCCTCACCCCACCAGAGGAGCCCCGGCACCGATTCACGATCTCTTTCTTCCCAGTGCTCTGTGTCCTGTGGCCGAGGTGTACAGCAGCGGCATGTGGCCTGTCACATCGGAACACAGAAAGCAGCCAGAGAGAGCGAGTGCAACTCGGTCAGCAGACCAGAGGCAGAGCGCGACTGCCAAGCCCCACCATGCCCCCTCCGCACTTGGAGGGCAGAGCAATGGCAAGAAGTAAGTAGGCCGTGCAGGCACAACCGTCGGGCACCTGGTTCCACCCCGGGCAGCATCACGCCGCTCCCAGGAAGCCAGGGAGGCCCCGAGCATGGGGCAGTGCTGCTCCATCCCAGGTGCGCTGCCAGCTCCCATGTGCGCTAGGGCGGATGGGAGATGCCCAGAGGAGGCATCCTGTGTGTGCCTGACAGTTCAGCGGGGCCAGGTGCGTGTGCGTGACTTCCGCAGGAGGGCAGCTGGGGGTACTTTACATCCACATCCAGAGGTGCTCATTCCACATCAGTGTGAGAGCCAGAGACAGACTGTAGGTAGGACCTCCTCTGTGCATGTCTTCTTTCTATGACTTTGCCTGTCAGGGAGACTGGCTGCCGGGCATGCGTGGGAAACCCAGAATAACTAGTGAAGGATTTAGAAAATGGTACAATCTGAAGAAACTGCTCAGCTGATGCAGAAATGAACGAGACACCTCTACACACACATACACATGCACTCTCCAGGTTAATGTTTGACTGAAGAAAATCCTAAGCTTCTCTGGGGCAGAGTCTGGCTGGGAAGGTCAGTCATTAGCAGGAGTTAGCTTAGCCTCGGCTTCCAGGACGGAATGTTCCACTGCAGAAGGCAAAGCCATTCCCGCTGACATTGAAACAAAATAAAAAGTGCGTGCTATAAGAAGTGCAAAGATCTGAGTCCCAAGAAGGCGGCCCCTGCACCAGAGTGGCTTTCAGAACACAGCGAAAGTGTGCAGGGTGGGCCATTGTCCTGTACCGGCCACTGTGCTGCGCATCCCCTGCCTTCATCCTTTCAGCCACTAGACAAAGTGAGGAATATTATCGTCACCATCACCACCATCACCATCACCATCATCATCCCCTTTTGCACCTAGAAAACAGGTTCTGGAAATCTGGGTCTGCACTCTACCCCCGGGGCCTGGCTCCCCACCCTGTCCCCTCCTCTCCCTCCTGATGTCTGCCCTGTCTCATGGGCAGTCGAGGGCCCTCACCTTGTCCATATCTGCTCAGTCTTCTTGCTTTGTTTTTCTTTGGGATTTCTGTACTTCCGTTAGGGCACAGGTCGCAGGGAGGAATGCCTGGCGCAGGTCCATGTCTGGTTACCTGCTCTTGAGCCACATACACTTTCAGGAGCCAGGGTGCTTAGAGTAACGCAGACCTGTTGAAGTCCAGCTCAGCCTCTCCTTAGCCCGGCAACTGGGAGCAAGGGTTATAGTTTCCCTGAGCCCTGGCTTCCCGGGCTGTAGGGGGCGCTCATAATTCTGTCAAGTCGTTGTGAGAACATGGAAGAGAGCAGCCATGGGGCTGGCGTGACGGGCCTGGCAGTGTTGAGTGCAGAAGGAAGAGGAGGCTTCCCTGTCTCCCTCCCTCATTGGAGCCTCTCTAGTCCGTGGTTCCTGTTTTGGACCTTGCACCCTAAAGCTGCCTCTTTTCTTCCTCTCCCTCTTTGTCTCCTGCCAAACTCAGCCCCGTGAGGTGGTTCTAAGGAACCGGAGGGGAGAAGGCATTCAGAAGTGAATTGAAGTTCACTGCTGGTGCTTGAGCCAGCTTTCCAGTGCTCGGCAGCCTATCCCAAACTCTAGGCTCCATTTATAATTCCTTCTTAATCCTAAAGAATGGAAAAGCCTTGCCACAGAGGCACTGAGGAAATTCCTCTTCTCCAATCGTCGCGAGTCTGCCAAGAAGTCCGCATCCTTGCATGTACCACCCAGATGGATCCTCTTAACCCTTCCTCAGTGCTGCTGTCCGACTCGGAACCGGAGGGGAGCCGTAGGAGGTGGTCCGCCCAGGTCCTGTATTGAAGGTTGTCGGAGGTTAGTCATCTCTCGAGAAGAAAGACTGGGTGGCAGCAGTTGTGCTCTTGAGGGCGCCTTCTCCTCTGCAGCCCCCGACACCAGGCTGAAGGAGGACCTGGGTATGGAGGTGGCCGCATCCCTGTGGGGGCCCTGAAGGGACACTGAATCGGGAGAGTGAGCACAAGGCACAGAGGAGGGGTCACCTGGCCCATAGCCCTCCCACCATGAGGCTTCCGGGAGAACACCACCTGTCCATCTCCAGGTCCATCATTAACTGAAGGGAGCCTTCGCCAGCCAGATCAGGGCCGGGGTGGTGCGTGTCCTGTCGCCAGCAACCCTGGTGCATTATTAATCATCCCCTTTCTCATCAAGGGCGTCCTTGTTTAACAGTACCTCAGCCACCCTATAACCTCCGGGCTCCCTGGGTCCCGGCCCGTCACAGCCTTTGGCCACTGCCACTTTTGCCCAGTAGCCCTGTGTGCAGGTGTGTTTCTACTCTCAGCCAGCGACCTTGGCCCTAGGCCGGGAGCGCCCTGCAGCCCCACCTGCCTCATGAGTGTGCAGGTGTCTCCTCCTCGCAGGGTCTGCCTGCTACATGTGCACTGTCCTTTGTCTCTCCTCCGTGAGTGCATCTGCCTTCAAAGGCACAAGTCCTGCACTCTGCCCAAGCGTGGTCAGGAGGTGTGCATGCCTGAGGGGCCCTCCCCTTGTCTGTTCAGGGCCCTGATACTGGTGATGAGAACCACAGAGCGTATTATCTATCAAACTGTAGACCAGGCACTCAGTTATTTTTACATGAAGCACCTCACTTAAACCTTCCCGTGCTCCTGGATAGTTTGACCCGAGGACGCCGGAGACTGGTAGTGCACTCACTGCAGGTGGTGCGTTTCTTAACAGACTGGAGTGTGGTGCCTTCAGCCCACCCATCTGCAGGTGCCTGGGGGAATTCACTCCTTTCCTTCTTGACTTCGGGGCCTCTCTAGAGAGCTGCTGCTGCGAGCTGTTCCCTCGACTGGCCAGGAGGCCTGCCACTTCTGCAAGTGCCACTCCTGTCCATCTGGGCCACTGTCAGGACGCAGTGGCATCCTGGGAAAGCTTTGCTGTGTAACCTGTGGCACTGCAGGCAAGGGCAGTAGCCGCCTTCGGTGCCAGGACAGGAGCTGGACTCAGGGTGGGGCAGAACAATGGCAGAGAGAGAAGTGCTCTGCGCAGCCTAGGTCCCCTTCCTTAGAAGATCTGGATGTGACATTCTGTAAACACAAGACCACAAGATATGCATCCCTGAGGAGCTGACCTTGCTCTCGCTTTTTGGTGTTTGTACAAGTGTGATTCTGGGATTTGAAGCCAGGGCCTTTGCACTGAGCTGCATTCCCAGCCCGTGTTTGGTTGTTTCCTTGCTTACACATTTGCTTTTAGTTTTGAGACGTCTCACTAGGTTGCCCAGGCTGAACCTGGAGTGCAGGGATCACAGGCCTGCACCCTGCTCGGGAAGCTCGCTGTGAATTGCAAGACTCCAGTTACTGCACGGGCACAGTGGGGCCACGAGCAAGGGGCCACCTCCTTCAGAAGCCTGTGCTGGTCTGGCCTCCCCTAGGAGCCCAGTCAGCTCCCCACCATCACTGCACCCTAGCGATGAGCCCCCCAGATCAGCACTGCCTCTTCCTCGCCACTGTTAGCAGCTAGTCGAGGGGGGATTTGCTCCCCAGAGTTCACTCCAGCATTGGCATGGTGCCGCCGGCCTGGCTGCGCGGACAGCTGCTGTGTTTTCTTGTCATGGGACCCTGACAGCCATGCTGGCTCACCCTCCGCACGCTGCCCACCCTGGGGCTGTCTGCCGGGCACAGGGACTTGGGCCCCTCTCGTACATACTTGTGTTTAGAGGGTTTTTATCAAAATCATCTGCAGAACGATTCCCAGGTTTGTCTCCGTAGCACAGAAAAATTAGGAATGAACAGCAGGTTGCTGCTTGGTTGACAAAAAAGATTTTCATGAAGTTTATCATAGGGAGTGATCAGAGTTTGATATATTCACAAGGCAAGATATTCACCCTTTACTATTCATTTCCTCATTAATTTATTTAAAAGTTTATATATGGAATGGGCCTATCATGAATACCACTGAAACAAAATGCCCCTGGCTCCTTTTTCCACTAGAAGTATAATATTTGGGAGCAAGAATGTCCAAACTCTACACACCTGATTTTAAAATGAACTTTTTGGATAGAATCCATTGGTAATTTAAGGACTGGTAGGGTTTTGTTGTTGTCTTTATTTTTTTGTTAACTTCATTGGTACATTTTAGGTATACATTATGATCACATTCGTCACAGGGAATTTCTACCAGTCTGTTGTATGTCTTGGTTCTTATTTTTTCCCATTCCCCTTACCTCCCTTCAACCTGTCTTCCCCTCCTTATTTGCAAAGGCTTTGCTTCCATTGTTTTCTTTTCTCATTTTTCTACTTTCCCTTCCTTTCTTTCTCTATCTCCACTGTCTAGCTCCCTTTCCCACTGAACATTTTCTTCCGACTTCACAATACCTGTTACACATTTTGGTCTTCATTTACACTTTCAGTTTCTCACACCAGAGAAACAATGTGATATTTAAACATGTGCATCCAATTTATTTCACTTAAGAGTATGGTTGTAAGGTGCATCATTTGGCTATAAATGTCTCAAACTTATCTTTCTTCGTGGCTGAGTAGTGCTCCATTGTATAAAACAAACACATCGTCTTTATCCATTCATTGGTTGATGGGCATTTGGGTTGCTTCCAAGATTTAGCTATTAAGAACTTTACTGCTGTAAACATGGATGTGCATATATCGCCGTGGTATGATACTTTTAGTTCTGTTGTGAAGATACCCAGCAGGGGAATAGCTGGGTCATATGGGACCTCTAATCCTAGTTTTTTTTAGGGATCTCCACACTGATTTCCACAGTGGTTGCATCAGTCTACACTCCCACCAGCAGTGGAGAAGGGTTCTTTTTACTCCACATCACTACCAGCATTTGTTATTGGTTGATTTCTTGATAGCAGCCACTCTTTCTGGAATGAGGTGGAATCTCAGTGTTGTTTTCATTTGTATCTCATGAATGACCAGTGATGTTGAACATTTTTTTCATGTGTTTATTTGCTGTTTCTACTTCATCTGAGAAGTGTCTGTTCATTTCAGATGCCCATTTTTGGATTGGGTCT